TATACGGAGTATCTTTCAATTTAACTCTCCTATTAATATATTGAATTTTGTCTTTGACTTCGAGGCCTAGTCGTCCATAGACGAAAGCTACTTGTTTTGTCGCAAGTTTTAACTGTCTTTTTTTTGCTAACTCACGTAACTCTTTCTAGAGTTTAATAAAAGGGTAAACTCTCCTATCTTCTGGACTCCAAGACTTATTTTGTGTAGGACTCTTATCTTTATTTAATAATAACCAGTTGTAACTATATTAAATTCGCAAGACTTGTTAATCAACATATCAACACAAAGCTCTTTACGTTTATATATATTCAGTTTCACGTACGTATAAAAATAAAGAACCAACCCTATTTCAGGCGAAATCTGATTTAAGAAAGAAAAAAAATTCACACTATACAAAATATACTCTGCTAAGAAAGATAGTCACATTAAATTTCATATTGTCAATAATCAAAAAAAAAAATGATATTGTCATCAGATTTGAAAATTCAAATGGTAGAAAAACGACTTTGCAAGATCTGAAATCAACTCTAATTATGGACTTTAAAGCATAACTTTGAGAGAATAGACTTTATAGGTTTGAGACTTTACAAAATCTTTAATTCCTTTCCGACTCTATAATAAACTCATAATATTGAATGGAGATTGAAGCATGGTGCACACTAAACAGTCGTTAAATCGGTCGATATTTTTCAATATGTGAGTCTTCAGTTCATGGAATGATGTGTTTAGAAAACTTAAAACTTGAATTCAAGAAGTTAAATACAAGGAGTAACATCCGGCATTAGTCACAGTCACAACAAAAAGTTTTCAAATTTATGAAATCGGATATTAAAGGCGGAAAAATATTTGTTAACCTTGGTATAGTCTCGATCGGGGAAGATGCTGTCTTTAACTCTTGGAACTTTTCGCAAAATAAAAGATAAAATAAAATTCAAGGGGCACTTTATGGCTTTATATTACGTCCAATAGTTTTAGTTGGCTACGTGCCTATACATGGATGCGACGTGGATATCGTAAAACCAACCAATGTACAAGATGTCGTCGTTTGACTTTCATAGAATATCGGATATTCTCACACATAATTTAATACATTATTAAAAAAAAAAATTTAATACATTATATGTTTGATAGTTTAATCATTTCGTAAAGTCATTACTTGGGGGAATTAATCTTCAAATCAATCTCCCAAAAAAATCGTATGAAATTATTTTTCATATTAAAATTGAGATTACTTGCATGCTGTATGAATCTCATTTCTGTATTATTTTTATCGTCAACAGCTGGTGGAATGCATGGATGAAACTAAACCTTAATTAATATACTCCCTCTGTCCCAAATTATAGGATGTTTTAGCATTTTTTTCTTGTTCCATTTTATAAGATTTTTCCAGTTTTCTATGCATAATTTATATTTATTTAGTATGTTATGACCATTTAAATTCTGCAGTCTTTTTTTTTTCTATTGGCTGAATTCTTATAAAAAGGTAAGCATTAACTATTTCTTAATCTTTGTGTTTTTACACAAAACATCTTATAAAATGGGACAGAGGGAGTATTTGGCAAGATTCGTCCAATCAAATTTTATCTATATTATGATTATTCTTTATAAAACACTTTAGATTGCTTACTTAGTTTTCTAATGACAAGATCACATACTTAGCATTTTTTTATTATTCAAGGTAAGTTTGTCAAAGCTCTTAGAGTGAGAGAGGGACTATTATCTGAAAATTATATAATTTCAATATATAGAATATAGTTATTATTTTGTTTTGCTATATAAAATCACATGTATAAATATTGGTCCAACTATTTTTTTTTCTGATCATTAACAACCTATTTCATATACTAGCTAGATAGATAATTGTTTAGAAAAAAATATTTGATATCATTTACTGTTCAGGATTTTTTTTTTTTTTTTGATCCCAAATTGTAGGTTTATGAAAGATTTTTAAAATCTTAGTTCTATTCACTGTTAAGCATTGAAATACATTCCTAACTGAAACTTTAGATACTATGTTTATAGATACCGGATACGTGTTATCTCTTCCCTTAGCATAGCCTTGACCTATTAAGATGTAATATATCCAATTCAATACACAAACCAAAGAATTATCCGGCACTTGGAATGGTATTAGAACAACCAACTAAAATTCTCGAGCAAAGTATTTACAGCTCGTGAGAAAAAAAAAGTTTATAATTTTAGTTTTTTTTTTCTTTTTTCTCACGAGCTGTAAATACCTCATCTTAAATTTATTCAAATCCAAAAAATTTGTGAAATTTTTTTTTATTAAATATAAAGTTTGATAATAATTTTTGTTTTTTTCGAGAATAAAACAGAAAGTTTGGTATTTTTAAGAATTCAACTTTTGTAGTTTATTTGTCAAATTCAAAAGATCATACGTTCTAGTTAAATTCTTACGTTTATACTTTATATACGCATATATTCAAATAACATGTGTATTACTAATTACGTATACATATATAAATTTCTAAGAATAATATTTTAGTATCCGAGGGATCATATATATATGCTGGTCGGTTCGGACTTGATATGTGACGACTGACGAACACACAAAGATAAAACGCGAATATGTTATATAGGATGCATGTAATCGAAAGACTATTATAAAGTATTTTATCAAAAAGAAAAAAAAGGCTCTTATGAAGTAAACATTAAAGAAATATTTACATATTTTTAAACGAAAGTTTTATATTTGCCAATTTTGCAAAAGTCAACATATATACAAAGTCCTATCGAGTTGACCCAATCCCCTCTTCAACGGGACCCAAGCAACGAAGTTTCGCGTTAAGTAGTTCCGTTTCGTCAAATGCTTAAATATCCACCACTAATAGTAATTTTAAAGAAAAATTAGTATCAAATAAACGGAAAACATAGGCAACATGAGCCAATTTTTCTTGCTATATGTATATATATAATCATGTGTTATTCATTTCCTAAGTCTTGATCACGAAATTTCTTCTTCCACCTGTTTATGTATCTATGATCAAATGACGGAATCAAATTTGCATCATTTACCATTTTAACATATTTATTTTCCTCGCTACAAAATATTCTGTGTTGACAATTAATTAGTATCATGATTTTCATTAACAAGAATCATTCCTGAACTTTCTTCAACCACATTCAAATCATTCCTGAACTTTCTTCAACCATATAATAATGTGGCATAAAAACTGTTTATATATGATACCAAATGATCTAAACTTGTTGACTATACATAATATTTTTATTTGTTTTCCAATACCATATATACGAAGGAAAAGTAAAATAATCTTTACTGTTCCTATCTACTGGATGGCTGCTGGAAACATTCACGAAGCCTTAATACGGCTGTGAACTTAATCATTTTATACATCCACGTACGTTTTTGGACTCCATGGCAAAAAAAAGATCTCCGCATGTTATAACTACGTACGCTACACTTTTTTGTTAATTTTTGTAGAGTATTGAAAAATTGGCTGTAGATACAAATTATTGAGGAGTGAGTAACAATTTAATTATAGGTAAATTATTGCCAAGAAATTTACAACCAAAATTTCTGTGTGAATTAATAGTTTTTCTTTGATGCTAAAATATCATATAAAATAAAATTAATGTAAAGGCATTACAAGAGAGCAATTACCTAAAGCAAAGTAACATTGACAAGAAAAAATAGGAAAAACAAGGTCACAATAAACTGATTTGGAGAACAACATTACAATAGTAGTTTTTTTTATAAGTTACCAACTTTTTGCGATGGCTTTTAGGATATTACGACGGATTTTATTGCGTCATAATTTTTAGGTGTAGTTATCAAATTGTCAGTTCCACATTATTTTAATGACTTTTACCAACTATACTTTGAAGTTTTTTTTTTCTTTTTGAAAATTGAATTACATAGAGTATAGCAAAAATTTTGCGATGGATTTTTTTTTTTTTAATAAAGAATCTGCAATTGAAAAACATATATAGTTATTGCAACTATGACACGAGGTCATACAGTTTTTAGAGGCGAAGGATTTTTGCAACAATATTATTACGCCAGATACAGTACTAATGAAGCATTATCTCCCGTTTTAAATTTGTGACTAGCTAACAAATGAGACGAATCATTGCTAAGTTCATGATATTTTTCGTCCCAATATTATGTGACAAGGACTAGCTAACAAATGAGATGAAAACATCTAGATGTTTTTGTAGCGTTTATTTTATCAATGTTATAAAATGAGCCTTTTATCAAAACGTACATGTCATAAGACATGATGTTTTACGACATGCATGGTAAGCTACGAATTCGGAAATGTTTCTTAAAAAATATATTATTATGAAAGTTAGAGTACTCGAGTACCCACAAGGCCACAACAGCCGCAAGTATACGAATCCAAAATCGATGTATTGGAAATGCATTACGTATACCTTTTCGACCACGGATCTAAAACGTGTCCAGTTCGAGATTGCATGGCTCCCATATGACCCATCATCATTTATGTAAAGTATACATTATCTTTTGATTCACTATAGGAAACGAGGGTATTAATAGCAATACATTATAGCGTTTTTAATGTTTTTGCTATAACTGTGATTTGAGAAAATTTACATAGCGTTTTCGAAAAAGTAAACGCTGTGATAGGTTAGCCGCGAAAACTTTTTGTAGTGGCGCTTAATTTTTCGTTTTACGATAGCATATATAACACTCAAAACGTCATCATAGAGATAACCGGGAAAATGAAAATTTTGTTAGCTCCAAAATTTTACTAAGTAAGAAAAGGAAAAAAATAGAGATAAAAAGAAAAAATAAAAAAGAAATTAGATTTGGTTGAAACTAGATCTGAAACTTTTTGGTTACGCTCTCAAACTCGATTAGAAACCCTCACAAACTCAATCCCTCTCAGTCGCAATTCCCTTAGTCGCAATCCCTCTAGATCTCGATCGTCAGTTTCAATATCGATGTACAAAGCTCTCTTAATCGTCTGACAGCTTGAAGCAACTACTCAGTTCCCGTTTTCTCTTCTGAACTCGTCAATGGCGGCTTCCGTTCTTCTCAATCATGCTCAATCTCTCTCCGTCGGCTCACACAGTTTTAGATCCAATTTTGTTTTGAGTTTCGGACTTGATTAACCTTGCTTATCACTTATCAGACTTGCTATTGTAAGAACTCTTGTTGATTAGTAGTGGTTTGCTACAAACTCTTGATTTATTTGGGATATCGCTCCAAAGTTCGGTGCCTTGCTTGTTTTCCCTGAGGTTCGTTGGTGTTTATTAGCATAGGTATTATGGAGAGTCTATGCCTTATGGAAGCATGGAAGAAGCTTACAAGAACGCTACCACTTTATCATATCTCACAACTGAGCAAGCTCTTGCTGATTTTGCTGTTTTTGTCACTGATTTGAAACGTAACTTGTCTGCGGAAGCTTGCCCAGTTGTGTTGTTTGGTGGATCATATGGTGGAAGTAAGTGAGAATCATATGATTTTTTTGTGTAAGTGGAATGCTTTTGAATGAGATTTTTGTGTGTGTTTGTTGTTGATGCAACAGTGTTAGCAACATGGATGAGGCTCAAGTATCCTCACATTGCAATAGGAGCTTTAGCTTCCTCAGCTCCAATTCTTCAGTTTGAAGATATTGTACCTCCTGAGACGTTCTATGACATCGCATCAAATGATTTCAAGGTGTAAATGTTTTTGCTTTATTAGTCGATTGACTATATCTCGTCTTTCTTTTTTCCGATCGTGACCGTGTTTTTGTTTGTAGCGTGAGAGTAGCAACTGCTTCAACACCATTAAGGACTCGTGGGATGCAATAATAGCAGAGGGTCAGAAGGAGAATGGCCTTCTGCAGCTGACGAAAATTTTTCACTTTTGTCGGTAAACGAATAAATTGGAGTTAGTGTACGCTTGTAAAGTGTATTAACTAGTAACAGTTTAATGGTTTGTTGCTCGATTTGCAGGGTGTTGAACAGTACTGATGACCTTTTAGACTGGCTGGACTTTGCTTATAGTTATTTGGCAATGGTGGATTATCCGTATCCCGCTGACTTCATGATGCCTTTGCCTGGATATCCCATTAAAGAGGTATATTATGGGAAGTAACACTTTATGATTTTATACTGATATTTACCCCAAATCAGAGAATGTTGTAGAAGAAATTTGAGAATGCATTCGCTAGCTCATTTGCATTTTCATCTTTACATCAACGATCCTACATGGCTATGGTTTAATGATTTTGCTAGTTGCATCAAGCAATTGTTCAGCCACGTCCTTTGAAGTCCCAATCATTCTAGGTCTGCAAAAAAATTGACGGTGTAGGTCTTCTAAAGTTACGTTAATTTGCTTTGTTAGGAGTGACTTAGCTTGAAATCATAGAATCTTGATTTTATTTGTAAATTGGTTCTTTAGGATATGTAAAGTTAATGGAATCACAATGTTTTGTGTTTTAATGTAACTTAACATCTTTTGTTAGGTGTTATGCTCGTCTTCATCGAAGGGCTGTGAACTGTAAAGAAGAAGAAGTGTGGCCATAGCAAGCATGATTTTTTTGTTATCTCATTTGTTGTAATAGAAGCCTAAGAAAAATCCGATCTTGCTTGCCTTGTATTTTGTTTTCCACTTGAGATAGTTTTTGTTCTTGTCTCATTGAATTTTTATGTTAAAATTTTATATCAATAAAAGGATTTGGTTTTCTATTTATTATGAATTAATTATTAAAATTCAAAATTCAAATCGTTATTTATTTAAAATAAATATGCTGTGAATAATAATTATTTATATCGAAAAATATGCGCTATTATATTATTAAATATTGCATCAAAGAAAGCGCTGTAATAACTAAATTTATGATAGCATAAGAAAAAACCGCTATATTTTGTCTCCGACCTATTATGACGGGCGATGATAGAGCGCTTGTTAAAACGCTATAGTAGAGTTATATAGCGTTATTCGGACGCTACAGATGCTCCATTTTCTTGTAGTGATTATATATGTATAATTAATTTTAAACTATTTATTGTACAGTTTCAAATGATTTGGGAGAAAATGAATTCTTTAATAACCCTAATTAAACTTGCAAATAATTTGGTATCCTTTTAATAACAATTAAATATATATATATATCAAAGCTACATATCATTTTCATATTTTAATATGATATTCTGTAATCTCCATTAGATCTATGTGAATAGCTGTTGCGCATTTGCGACCTCAATATGTCCATCTATTAGTTTAATAAACGCTAACATTATCTATGATATTTTTTCTTGTAAACATTTTATATCAAACTTTTTTTTTTGTTGTTGTTAAAATTCAGGATGTAACTCGTATTATTATATTTTAATAATCTATAATATTTTTTCTCATAAACTAGGTAGACTTTTGTAGTTTTATTATTATTTTTTCAATCATTTTCAAATGTATTTAATATTATTTCGAGCTAGACCCTACCATCTCGTGTCTTATCGTTCAAATACTAAAGAATAATAATATTAACACTATGTCAACGGTTTTTGGTAAGGACGAGTTAAGAAGAAGAAGTCAGTCTCCAAGAATTTGACTCAGAACAATACCAAAACTGCTTTAATTCGTCAAAATATCAATTCTGGACTATTCATTTCAACGTCTCCTTCAAACACGTATGTATATAAATACCTACACCCACCAACACCACATCTTACCAAGTCCTCAAACATAGATCCTTGCATTTACATATACATATAATATCTCTCGAATTTTCAAGAGCATCAAGATCCATCAGGTATATATTACATAAGTCTTTCGTATACAAAACATACATCTCCTGAGTTTCCGTTCTTTGATAAGTTCTCTATATTTGCTAATTGATTATTGATGCATATACGTGGAAATATATTCTCATTTTCAGTGTAACAGAGAAGAATGTCGCCGTCAATGGTAGCTCCGGTGATGGAAGAAGAGAACAAGAAATACCAAAAAGGCGTGAAACATCTTTGTGACAATGGTCTGACCAAAGTACCAACTAAATATATATGGCCTGAACCTGACCGACCCATCTTCACAAAATCCGACAAGCTCATCAAACCAAAACAAAACCTAAAGCTTCCCCTCATAGATTTCGCTGAGCTCCTTGGACCTAACCGGCCTCATGTTCTACAAACCATAGCCGAGGCCTGCAAAACCTACGGCTTCTTCCAGGTTGGTTCTCAAAACCCTAAATTACAGGAAGTGATATCTAGATTTCTTGCTAAACAAGTAAGCTATGGTAATGGGCAGGTTGTGAATCATGGGATGGAGGGAGATGTGAGCAAGAACATGATAGAAGTGTGTAAGAGATTCTTTGAGCTTCCGTACGAGGAGAGATCAAAGTACATGTCGTCGGACATGTCGGCTCCAGTACGATACGGCACGAGTTTCAACCAGATCAAAGACAATGTATTTTGTTGGAGAGACTTCTTGAAACTCTATGCACATCCTCTCCCTGAATATCTTCCTCATTGGCCTTCTTCTCCTTCCGACTTCAGGTTAGATTTCCCACATTTATATTTTATAACTAGAAAATTAGCTAGACATGTGCTTATTTTCCCGTTTAATGAAAATAGAAAATCTTAAATTTGATATTCCATCAATAAGAAACTCCACAAAAAGATTTTAGCACATGTGTTTTTAAATATTAAACTCAAAAACATAGGTGGCTCAACATTTACCTACGTGAAGAGAATTAGTCAGAGGAAAGTTGTGATATTACACACAATTTTAGAATCTTTCAAGAGCATGTATACCCAATTCTTCCACTTTGGTCACAAATCGCACACCCAATAATTAACTAGAGGCAAGGGCGGTTACTAAATTATATTTTAAATAATAGATATGTAAGTGGCGGCTTGTGAATCTATAAAGATGAGTGGAATTATTATACAACTAAATAACAAAGAAAAGGTCACATTACGACTTACTTATCTTCATAGCTACACCACCACCATATAATAGCAGTCACGGGGTTACTTTACGTATCACGAGTAATATTAATAAATCATCCCCAATATATGTTATTTTATATAACTGTAGATAAATTTTATTACATGAGCGTCTAACAAAAATTTTATATGTATAAAAAATTTGAAAACAGGAGTTTGGCGGCTACCTACGCTAAAGAGACGAAAGAGATGTTCGAGATGATGGTCAAAGCCATCTTAGAGAGTCTTGAAATTGATGGCGGCGACGAGGCGGCTGAGGAGTTGGAAGAGGGAAGTCAGGTGGTGGTGGTGAACTGCTATCCGCCGTGTCCAGAGCCGGAGCTGACGCTAGGGATGCCACCGCACTCAGACTACGGCTTCTTGACGCTTCTCCTTCAAGACGACGTCGAAGGCCTTCAGATTCTATACCGTGACGAGTGGGTCACCGTTGATCCCATCCCTGGCTCTTTTGTCGTCAACGTCGGTGATCATCTTGAGGTATATTAATTATCATTTATCTATCTACTTTTGTTTACCAAAATTACTTCATAGATTTGATTTATATCTTAAATTCGAGGGATAGCAATGAAAATATTCTAATTATACTGTTAAATCCTTAATTAGAAAAACATTTTTAATACTTGCGCTGCAAAATAGTTAAACTGGGTTGATTAAGATTAAAATTTAAAAAGTGATTAGAACATCAAATTAATTTTCTAGAATCTTGTTTTCTCATCTTCTTTTTCCTCAATTTTGGTTATTACATGTAGATATTTAGCAATGGGAGGTATAAAAGCGTGCTACATAGGGTATTGGTGAACTCTACAAAGCCTAGGATATCGGTGGCGTCGCTACACAGCTTCCCTTTGACTTCTGTCGTAAAGCCATCACCGAAACTCGTCGATAAACATAATCCATCACAATATATGGACACTGATTTTACCACTTTTCTTCAGTATATAACTTCTCGTGAACCCAAATGGAAAAATTTTCTTGAATCACGCAAGATTCACCATGTATAATAAATAGAATACCTTTTTCCTAATATCAGTAACATTAAGATGAATCAAATTTGTGTTATAATTAAATTTACATCCTATACTAATATTTGGGAAGTACATCCTAAGGATCATAATGTTGATTTTGTAAGAAATTACAATATATGCCATTAGAGAATTCTAATCATAAAATTTTATTCCATGTCACTAATATATATAAACGGGTCAACGGGTCAACGGGTTTAAAGATATTAAAAGATTTTGTTTATATAACACATATACTTCGGAAAAAAATTTCTTCAAACGATTACACAATTAATATAATTCGAAAATGTTATATACTAATCAATTCGAAAATGTAACACAATTAGTAAAAATGTTATATACTAATATATTATTCGAAAATGTGATCGAAAATATTATTGAAAATGTTACATAGTAATCCATTATTCGAATATGTTATCAAAAATATTATTGAAAATGTTAATGAAAATGATATATCATTGAAAATATTTTATATCAATCCAATTTATAAAAAATGTTATTTTGAATTATAATACTCATATAGTTCGAGTCTGATAATTCTATAATTTGGGGAGTAAATTCTATAAATCGTAACGTTGATTTTGTAAGAAATTACAATATATGCCATTAAAGATCTCTAATCATAATCATTTTAATTTCATGTCACTAATATAACCAATTCATTAAAAACCGGGTCAATGAGTCAAATGGGTTTAAAGATATTAAAGAGATTTGTTTAGATATAATTCGAATTTATAAAGAAAAACAATTCAATTCCGATTTTTAAGCTAACTAATTAGTTCTTTCTTATAACATTTTAATCGAATAGGATAAGAAATCCCACATTTATGGGGATATTCTATAGAATATTTTACGTTTATTAAAAATTCCATAAAATCTTTGCATTTATATTTTCCACAATTTTAGAAAATATTAAATTCTTTGTTTTTAGGTTAAAGCTAATGACGGTACTCTACAATTCTCCTCTATATAAACCGATCAAGTTACTCTTTTATCACCATCAACAAACGTTTTAGTTTTTTTTTTTCTTTTTGTCGATCTAATGCTAAAGCATTGGCTGTTATATTGTATCTGAAAACTATAATATGATGATATCTTAAATGTTTTGTTAGTTTTGTATATAGGGATGTGTTGCGTATATGTCTTGAGTCAATCGTCCAACAACAAAGCCGAGAAGGATCATCTTGAGACATTCCCAAGTTGCCAATATTTCATATCGATTTGACGTCATGATCAAAGCCAAGAAACCTCTTGAGAGATTCTCAAGTTGCAGAAACAAATTCTCTTGCGTTGCTGATATTTTTACTTTAGCAATTTAAGATGTTGTTTAGAAGTGTTATATATTTATTTTTCAACGAACTGTATAAATGTTTGTTTAATCAAATTTTTGTTTTTTTTTGTTGTTCATTAAAAATAACATAAATATATTAACGTGATAAAAATAAATTCAAGCTTTTAAATTTTGATCTATTAAAATAACTGAAATACCAAAATCGAATTATGTTAGATAATTTAATATACACAATCGTGATATGCAATTTAACTGTATTTTTTTTTGTTTCGAATGTGGATACTTAAAATATTTAATCCTGATTTGCTCAAAAAAAGAAAGATATATAATAGTGATTTGTTGTTACCTCAATATCTATATATACATTTTTGTAACACTTTTAGCAAAAAAATTCTGGGGTTGGGCAGTATTTACAAAGAATGTCATTGGCATTTATTATTACTTTTACAAAATTTAAATAAAAGATATTAACCAGACAATATCTTGCCTAAATTGTTTCTAAAAATCTCTACACAATCTTTCCATATATCTTAAAAAAAAATTATAGCAAATATTTATAATAATCAAAATATTCACATAGAAAAATCAAATACACATACAGTAAAAAGAACTATATCTATCATCATTTAAGCCGTTGCTTTATTTAAACAAAAAAAACACAAAAACTTGAAATTATATACGTTATATGATAAATTTAAAATATATATTAATAGTATAAATTTAAAATCGTTCAAAGAACGGTATACTACGGGTGAGATCCTAAAATTATTAGATTTTATAACAATAATAATTTATTTCCTTGGATTTTATAATACTAATAATTTAGCTAACGGGATAATATAGACGGGTTTATATGGGATGACGGGTTTGGATCGATATTAATAAATAACGGTATATCACAGATGAAATCATAAAATTAACAATCAAAATACAATTATACAATCTTAAACACAAAACAAAAGAAACAATATTAACAAAACAAATCCAACTTAAATTTAAAATTTTTAGTTATAAAAAAACCGTCCCATGGTATATTGCAGAGTAAAATATTCAAAATTTTAAAATCCACCATACATCGTTACTTAAAAAAAAATGTATGTTTTCGTATCTATACTTCAAAAATTGATAGAGTTAAAGAGAAAGACGAACACAACACATGAAGCTATATTTTTCTTTATGAACATTATTAAAATTTCAAAAAATTTAAAGAAAGAGATGAGAGAGATATATGAGATTTTCGTCCTTCCTCCCAAGTCTTAGCTTTGTTATTTAAATCGTTTTATGTTCCAGGTGGACATACAAATATATCTCGAACCAAATTAGAAGATATTTGTAATCTGATCACATAAGAGAAAATCTCTTCCATGAATTACATAAAAAAAAACATAAAATTAACTCTTTTTCGTGGAAAGAAATATTTGTGATGGATTCTCTCCTATATACAATGAGAAATATGGAAACGATTGCTAAAGAAGAAAAAAATATATATTAAAAAAGTGACCAAATAAAGGAAAATAAATAAATGAAATTATTACATAGTCGTCCATAAAATTAATATTTTTGTGTTTTATTTGGAAAATAATATTTAAAATTTATGTGATGGATTCTCTCCTATATATACCTCTCAATGACTTTTGAAATATAGAAACGATTGCTAAAGAAGGAAAATATATAAATGAATTTAATACATAGTCGTCCATAAAATCAACATTTTTGTGTTTTCTTTGGAAAATGATATAAAAAATTGGGGGATGGATTATCTCTTATATATACACTCGTCAATGATTTTGGCAAAAGGGAAAAGCAAACAAGTCTAATTGTCGCATAAGTCATAAGAAAATTGAAAGAGTTGGAAAAAGCGAAACAAGGATGATGGCTTGTAAGAGTTTGGTTATCGTTCTCATAATTGTCTCTCTATTTGGTCTTCACCAATGTAAGAATTTGTTCAAGCTTTCTTATTTTTTTTTCCCAAATACAAAACTTAACATTAGATGTACGTATACTAAAACATTGTTTTTTTTTTTCACTAAAACATTGTTAGGTTCCTTTTCTTATATGTAGTCTATTTTTCACATATATTATTACAATTGGTCTATTATATATATGAATGCAATTTGTTTATGAGTTATGTTTGATGTATGATAATTTGCAGGTGAAGATATTGATCATCCGAAGGGAATAGAAAGATGTTGTAGGAGATATATGGGAAAGCCATGGACAATAGAGTATTTGTGTTGTATAGAAGCTCCTCGGATTTGCTTCACACCCCTCACTCCAGAACAATGCCTCACCAAGTGTCCGCCACTGCGAAAAGGAGCACCGCCCTCTCCATCGCCGCCCCACAGCCTTCTTTATAGATGTTGATTGGTTTCTGATGTCCTATGTCATCCATCTCGTGTTTAATCAGAATCTCTTTTTTTGGTTTATCAACTTTTGAGTTGAACTTGAATGTATGGCTCTTCTAATAATATTCTACTTATTTATTCGTTTATTTTTTTAGAGTCCGATATTACTTTTATATTGAACTATTATTATTGGTTGTGAAAAATGTGATGAAACCAAGTTGTAGACTTGTAGAAGAAACATCAAAAAATAAAACACGACAGTGACAAAAACATTAAAAGAAAAGCAAAAAACGACGTCGTTTCAGCACGGAAACGAAGAAATTTCAGAGCTTCGTTGTTCTTCTCTTCTCTCTCGTCCCGTCGACGGCGAGACAGTGAGATTCGATTCTTCTACTTGTGATTAAATTCTATGGGATTCGAGTCTCAGGGATCCGATTCTCTTGCTTCTGACTCCTCCATCGTTGTATCTCGCAGTCGCCGTTAAGCTCCACGATTTCCTGATCTCTTCGGTCAATGGCCTTCTTGTTCAATTGATACATTGATGATGAAACATGTCTTATTCCGTTTTTTCTGTGCTTCTTATGATTGAGTGCAATGGTTGTTGGCTAGAGTTTTGTTAGAATCAGAGATGGATCATGGGAGGGAACTTCGAACAACACACAACAATTTCCTTGAAGCAAGAGCCGACTGTTTCTATCTATTATCCTCAGGAAATCTTAGCTTCTCGTTACCTGAATTGATGGCAACGTAGGCCAAGAAAAAAGAAATAGAAGAGGTCTCTGAGTGTTCTTGTACCTAAAGTTGAATCCCCTGTGAATTCCACAACTTTAGAAACTGGTGTAAGAAAATGGAGAAAGTGATGGTTATAGTAATGCAATGGATAAGGCCTTAATGCCTAAATGAGGTGTACGTAGAGTCTGTGTCGCCTGATCCTAATGAGTGTTTTCTAGGAAGGACTTAGAGAGAGTTTAGAGTTTGGCATACAATTCTAGAATGCAATAACATGAGAAGACAGGTTGCAGCTTTGTTTGTGGAGAAAGAAACCAAACCAGGAGAAAATTAGCCTCGACCATCACGGTTTCCTCAGCCTGTTCAATTGATACATTGATACATTGATGATGAAGAAACATGTGTGATACGAGAATAAGGAGTGGCTGTTTCCATCTTACTTCTGGGCTACTTGGGTTTGCCCTGTATCTCTATGAGTCTCGATTCGGTTTTGCAGCTATTTTCAGTTTTCATTGATTCTTAATTTGACTTTTGCTGATATGATTATTCGTTGCCCTGTGTGATGCACAAGCTGTGTACTTCTAGTTTTACTTTGATTGTTTTCCGTGAGACTTGTTAGAAACAGAGGTAACATCAGTCTCACTCTTTGAATCTTTCCCTGTTTCTTTTCAGTTCTAGTACTAAACCCTACGCTCCACTGCATGAGCCTTAAGTGTTTCCAGATATTCTTCGTCCTTTGTTGTTGATACCTCATAAAGCTACGCTCTATGATCTAATTAGACACTGAAGCTTAAGTTTTAGCTGTTTCTGTGTTGTTATATACTATAGGTTTCATATCCTGTATCTTGAATTCAGATCTTTAAATGTACAACATTGAGAATGCTACTTTTAGTTCAAATAGATTTGGATTGGTGTTACCAACTTTTCTCATTTTCCTTTTTCTTGGATTGAATCAGGCGTTGTGGAACTCTTTAATAAGTACTGAATCAAAACCCTTTTGGTTTATTTTTAGATATGAAATTCGATTTTCTTCTATAAGATTAGAGATTGATGCACTCACTTTTGATTTGGTAATCTGGTATTGGATTCAGTTTGTTTTGATCACTTTGTGTGGGATTTCTCTTTTATTATTTTCAGATAGTGATATAGCTAGGAGTATAAGTTTGTGACTGCTGTTATCCCGAAAGCCTTTACAATACCTGAATTGGTTATCTTGAGGATGGAATCTATAATCTTTGCTTTAGAAATTCTCGATTTAGGTGCACATGTAGACGTAGTCCACTTTGATAACCTTTGAACCATTTCTTCTGACTCTTTTTCGAATTTGATGAATGTTGGTTGATCTTGTCTTTCATTGTAATTTTTGATGGTGTTCTGTTAATTTGCCTTCGTTGACATTCTAAGTTCATGGTGAATCATCTCTTGTGATTTCTCAGGTTAGAGATTATGCCAAATATCGCATCATTTTACATGTTTCCTTCTGATAGGCCTTGTTTGTTAATGCAGGCTTCCTCAAACATGCTTTAATAAAAGTGTGGATAAAAGTTTAAACTTTTCTCTTTTTAATGTTCTCTATGATCTCATGGAACTTGCTATTATTAAGACTTAACTGAGAGATGATTTGGGTTCTAGAAGAAATGACGGAAATGCTGACTTTCACTAGAATGCGTTTTTATTTGATCCAGTTAGTTACAAAAGAGGAGGAGTACTACTAGTCAGGGAGATGATACAATGCGTAAGGAAAAGGCTGAACATCAAGGTTAGGAACTGGTGTATGAAACAGAGAAAGTATTCATTGTCTAATCGTTGTGTACATGACTCACCTGATTCTAATGAGTGTTTTCTGATCTCAAAATGTTACATTTGTTCAGAAATATTTTCTTGAGGGGTTTCTTGAGGATGTCTCTATGGCCAAAAGTATCAAGCGTCTCAGAGAATGTTGAGTAGATTGAACTTGTTGCTCCGGTGGCAACAACAGACCTATAGATGGTGGAGTTTGACACTTCTGATTTATATTTCCATATCCTCGGTTGCTGCCACCAACCTGCATACACATCTATGCCATCATCAAGGGAGGAGGTCATATTACCTTGCATAGTAACAAATGGGTGAAAAGTTCTGAAGTAGTCGCCCTCTGCTGTAATGGTTTTAGTTTCAGTTTCTAAGTCACTAGGAGCAACCTTTCAGTAGCTCAGTGTGTGAAAATGTTGTAGCAGTCTCTAGTGTGGTTGTATAAAGAGTAGCCTCTGTCGTGGCTGCAGTGTCGAAACCAGAGAATTCTCTGAAGTTGTTGTAGTTGACGTATAAGAAGGGTCAAAGTCAAGACTTGTCGCAGTTTCACTCACTAGCTTTGTGTTTGTGACAGTTCCTGGAGCTGCGTTTTTGACCTAGTGTCATAGCTTGTAAACATTGTCTTCTAAATGGAATAACCTTTACTAAAGGAAAAACTTAAGCTTGATACACAATTTTTAAGCTATCAACCTTTTTTCTCCTGTTGTTGGCAGGAAATATATACATTGGAAAAAAGGTTTACCATTTAGCTAGTGGGTTTCAGATTGTCATCATGAATCTAAACTCTTGGTTTCTACTAGTTTTTGCTTGAGAAAAGGCAAGTTCACTGTTTTTACTCTCCTAATTAATATAATAACCAATACAATCCATGGACAATTATTTATCTTTGTAAGTAAAGCATGGATTAATCTCTAAAGCCACTGCTCTCCATCGATGAAGGAGATGTTGGTGAAAGGAGCCGCTTCCACATCGGTGAGTTGCTTCGCATAGGGAACACGTTTAATGTGATTGGCTCCTGGTCCGTAGCACCGATGCTCTCCGTAATACACAGTCCTAAAAAATCAACTCAATTCAGTCCGTAATACACAATCCTACGAACCAATTCATTGTGATTTTTGTTGACTAACCTTTGTGTCTTGTGATCTCCCATGTCATTCCACCCATCAAGAGAAACAACTCTAGACATGTATGTCTTGGAGAAGACAACACTTGCATAAGGTCTCCATGCACGTCCGAGCCACACTTTCCCGCTTCCCGTAATCTTGCAATTCACGAAAACGAATCCCGCTCGCTCGTTTGGTAGTCCCTTTCCATTGGCCGTAATACAACCAAGTGTATTTTCCTTTGTGACCGAATGGATTGTGCAATCCTACAAAAGAAAAATGGTTTCAAATTGTTAACGTACATGTAAAAGTCTATATGTGAAATATTATGACATTGTTGTATTTTTGTTTTACCTCGTAAAGGGATCTCCCGTTACCGAATATAAAGTCGATTGATCCTTCGATGAAACATTCTTTGAAAAAATGCCTTCCTTCTTGGTCCAAAAGTGTGTCTTGGTTCCCATAGAAGCCACATCCATAGAATGCTGCTTTGTCTCCGTAAACTCGTAAAGCTACCGCTTGTGCATCGATTGCTCCGGGGTTTGGTGCGGGAGCCGTATTCTTATACCAAACAAATTTCATTAGAAACCACAAAATAGAGTAAACAATATCTCAAACTTTTATCTAAGAGAAAAACTTTCATTATAAACCATAAAAGAGACAAAACATTTCATTAGATACTTTATCAAATTTAAACTATCTACAAAGGAAGAAAACATCTCATTAAAAGCCACAAAGAAAGTAAATACTTTCAAACTTTAATTATCTTCCCATTATCTAAGTTCAAAGTAATAAAATATTTCTATGTTATTAAGATGAGAAAACTAACTTAAAATTTCTCATGAAATAAGTAACTCAAACTCAAAAAATAAAATTACAAAAAAACAGAATTATTTTACCTTGAAGCTTATGTTGTAGGCGGTGAATTTTTCTCCAAAAACCGCAACCGAGAAACTATAAAAGGTGCCATTGGAAGAAGATGCGGTATTATCCCACTCAATGGATGTTTTTGTGTATCCCATTCCTTGCACCACAAGATTGATTTTGTTCTTTGGAAAGATAACTCTCTCCCTAACAAAAAAAGACACTCACATTACACATCAAACTATTTGAAGTAAAAAGAAGAAGATTAGGGTAAAGAATTTACCTATAGATGCCAAAGTCAATTAAGATTAGTGTCTTGGTTTGGCTTGATCCAATACTTGCATCAATAGCATCTTGGACTCTTTTAAACCTTCCACAACCACTGAGTGAAACCTTCAAAACCATGGTGAATCCCTTTGTTGGAAATCTTGAGAGGTGGTCACACTTTGAAGGATGATGGATCCTTTGATCCACCAATTGAGTTGGAGAGATGATGGAGAGAAAGAGAATGAAGAATAGCATGATTGAAATGGTTTAGGTTCAAGGAGTTCAAAAAGAAAAGAAATTTTGTGAAATGTGAAGAAGAGATTGTAAGAGGAAACAAAGCTTCTTAACTTGGGGAAGATGATAATGTTGTGAAGAAAATGGCAAAGGCTCTAGTATAGCTACTCTTACTCTCTCATTCTAAACTTAGTTATGCTATGATCACTACATTACAAACTATTATTTCTTTGACAAAGACCCTATACCAAGTTCATTACTCTCATCCCAATTAATTCTCTCTTACATTAAAAAAAGAAAGATTTCCTTAATTTTATTTATTTTTACTTTTTAACTTCATATGAAACCTTTCTATTTGAGTGTTTTCAATAATAGAGGGTTTTGTAGTTTAGGCATTTAAGAACTTTGAGACTCTTAAACATCTTCATGAGTTGGTGTCTTGCATAGCTTTTTGCACATGATGCTTTTAACATTACTCATCTTCTTTTGGTATCTATTTCTTGATTATCTAAGAAACAAAATAGCACACATTTGTTCTTACGTTGATGAGTAATTGTTTTCAAGAAATAAAAAACTGATCCTTTTTTGATAAACTTTCATAGCTAGCACACCTAAATTATTAACACACAATACAAAACTAATATTTGTTTATAGAAGTTTTATAAATAGTTAAGGTTTCTTCACAATTTGAATTTTAATAATCTATACACATGGTGATTGTAGTTGTAGAAGTGTGTTTGGTTGATTTAGATTTAATTTAGAAATTCGATTGATATCATGTATACCAAAACGATTCTCCCATGAATAATGATGTATTTTATAAGCTAAGGATCATTTTTTAAAAATAAATATATAATAATCCAAAAAAGAATTGAAAGATGGCTAAGAGATTGATGTAAAGAGTGTAGAAAAATGAAAGATTTATTGAAGAAGAGTCAAGAGTTGTGGAAGTTGGAGTGTAATGTAGAGATAGGCTTTAAAATTATAACCAAAATTGATCGTTGAAATTTGAAAACCAAATCAAAATGGTTTAATATAAAACCAAACCGAACCTTTTTTCACTACAAGCAGGAATACGCGGGAAATTCAAGTCATTTCGTTAACTGACTTAAACAAGAAGTCACAAGAAAAATAAAGTACGTTCAAAGCTTTTTTCTTTGTATTTTTTTTAAATGCAGTTTAATCTCATATATAAAATATAAATATAATTATGTGTAAAATATATAACATTCATTGAATCATTATTTGGACTTTTTGACATCGATTTATGAAATATTGCTATTTTGGTTAATTAGTAGTATAAGAGAGACTATTAAATGGTTTTGTAGTTTTTGCAATTAAGCTATTAGACTTTTACAGGTCTATATTATGAGAGTTGGTGTCTTCTTGTACAGTAATCATGATGCATTTAACACTCAACTTATTTTTTTATTTTTGTTATAATCTAATAAAATAATTAAATAAAAGCACACATTTTGGTTTTAAGGATTTGCTTTCCAATAAACTTGTTTGAGAAAATCTCATAAAAACCTATATTATTACCAAACTATACAAACATTAAAATAAAAAAAAATCACGAGAATTTCATATTTTTGTTTATATAAAAGCAATGTATGTGTATATTGACTTTTTCACTAGGCAATAAACAAAAACAAGACAGTCACTTAGAGTGAAGTTTTCTTAGCTCAAGCGGTAAAGTACAGTTTAAAAGCAAAGGGGTGTAGGGTTCGATTTCCTTCTTCGAAAGTCAAAAACATTTTTTTTATTTACGTTGACGAAGGGCAAATCAGTCATTTACCAGTCCAATCGGTTATAACGATAAAAATTCAAAACGTCTCGAACGACGTCGTTTGGATGAGAACTGTTCCGTTTCTCCTCTTTCTAATTAGGGATTTGGTGGTTTCTCAGTCGCCGGTAAGCTCTACGATTGCCTAATATAGATTAGATACTCGATTTGATTGATTCTCGTTCAATTGATGAACTGATTATAGAGTAGTGTTTGCGTCTTGCATATTGATTCTCGAGTAGGCTTGTGAGGCACCTCTAGGTTCATAAGTGGTTGGCTTTGTTCTTCGGTTGATAAGCAATAAAGAATAGTCTACGGCAGAAGAGGAAGAAGAAGATAAAGGGGTCCAAGTCTTGGATGTTTGAGTACAAGTCTGAGTTTTTCAATGTGGAATGGTTCAGAATTATGAGCAGTAGTGTGAGTTGGAGGAAGCATAAGTTTGAGAAGCTCAAGCACAATCTTCGAAACTAGATATCGTTTACTCTCAAAATGGTGCCCGATTGATTGACAATATTATTGAGGTAGGAGTTGGAAGGAGAGACTACATATTTTTTTGAGCTGGAAACAGTGTTCAACAAAGAGATTTGCTGCTGTTACTTACAAGTCCAAAGAACTGTGATAAGGGCTGTTCTATTGATACATTGATTGATGAAATAGCATGTGTGATACTAAGTAGTGGCTGTTTCCGTCTTACTTCTGGGCTACTTGGGTTTGCCCTGTATCTCTGTATGAGTCTCGATTCGGTTTTGCAGCTTCTCTGTTTCCTTCATGTTCTTTTCAGTTTTCATGTTGATAGGATTAGTTGTTGCCGTGTGACGTGTGTGATGAACTAGCTATGTGCTTCTAGGTTTACTTTGTTTGTTTTCCGTGAGATTTTGTTTAAAAACAGAGGTAACATCAGTCTCACTCTTTGAATTTTTGCCTGTCTCTTTTCATTTCTAGTACTAAACCCTACGCTCCACTGCAAGAGCCTTTAGTGTTTTTAAGGCAATGTTGAAGCCATATTCGAAGAAAACAGAAGGTAAGAGGTTTCTCCTTGTGGTTTTGTTCCTATAGTTGTAATTGATGCCGAATCCCCTGTGAATTTCAGAGCTTTAGAAAATCACACTAAGGTTAAACTTGTTCAGTTACTCCCTTCCTCTACATGTTCCACTGGCTTGTGTCTGGTCAGTGCTACAATTTTTATTTCCAGAGATTCTTCTTCCTGTCTTGTTGATACCTCATAAAGCTAAGATCTTTGATCTAATTAGACACTGGAACTTAAGTTTTAGTTGTTTCTGTGTATGTATACTATAGGTTTCATATTCTGTATCTTTAAATGTAGTACATTGAGAATTCATTATGCTATTTTTTAAAAAGCAACTAGGGGAATAAAATCCCATATACGTTAATCAAATCCGATAAGATCATCTTTCATATCTTTAGATGTAAGCTAGGAGAGTATGTTAAGGAAAATATATGTGGACCAAAAAAGAAGAAAGGAATGTTTTTAAAAAGGGACGAAATAAACTGAATAAATGGAATTCTAACATAGTCGTTCATATATAAAGTTAACATTTTTGTGTTTTCTTTGGAAAATGATATTTAACATTTATTTGATGGATTCTCTCCCATATACTACCTCTCAAAGACTTTGGAAATATAGAAACGATTGCTAAAAAAGGAAAGTATATTAAAAAATTGACCAAATAAAGGAAAATATATAAATGAATTATTTACAATTTTACATAGTAGTCCATAAAATAATATTTTTGTGTTCTCTTTGGAAAACAATCTTAAGATGTAAGTGATGGATTCTCTCCTTTATATATATATATATATTTCTCAATGATTTTGGAAACGTGGAAATACAAACAAGTCTAATTCTCTTATAAGTCATAGAAAATTGAAAGAGTTGGAAATAGCGAAGGATGATGGCTTGCAAGAGTTTGGTTATCGTTCTCATATTTGTCTCTCTTCTTGGTCTTCACCAATGTAAGAATTCTAGCTTTTCTAAAAAATTTATCACAAACCAAATTAAATTAATAGTAGATGCAAGGATCAAGCAAGTGTGTTCTTCTTTCTAATGTATTACTATTCCGAGTATTCTTACACCTAATAATTAGTCCATACGAATTATTGTTTGATGTATGATATTTTGCAGGTCAAGTTGATGAACATCCGAAGGGAAAAGAAAGATGTTTTACACGTTTTGTTGGAAAGCCATGGACATTGGAGGATTTGTGTTGTGTCGAAGCTCCTTGGATTTGCTTCCCTGGCTTCGAAACTGAAGAATGTCTCAAGTGTCCGCCTCTACGAGAAGGAGTACCACCGTCTCCACCACCGCGAAAAGGAGCAGCGCTATCTCCGCCTTTGTGAAAAAGGAATAGCACCGTTTCCATGGCCCATTGCATCTCGTTTTTCATTTAGTCTTTTAATAATTAAATAATAAAATCTTTTGGTTGAAAGTATGCATGTCTCTTAAAACGAAATACCGTCTCTTAATTTGTTTTCTCTATAAATAATAATCAAAAGAAAAGTTAAAAATGAGTTCAATAAAGAAGGGAAAAACTCTCGACAGTGAAAATATCAAACTCTTTGTAAACTTTTGCAAGTAACCAAAGAGTTAATACTAACCGACGTCGTTTTCTGGGATTTAAAATTACGCCAAAACGGCGTCATTTTACTTTGATTTTTTTCAGTGAGACTTGTTAGAAACAGAGGTAACATCAGTCTCACTCTTTGAATCTTTGCCTGTTTCTTTTCAGTTCTAGTACTAAATCCTACGCTCCACTGCAAGAGCCTTAAGTGTTTTTAAGGCAATGTTGAAGCCATATTCGACGAAAACAGAAGGGAAGCTCCTTGTGATTTTGTTCATATAGTTGTAATTGATGCCGAATCCCCTGTGAATTTCAGAGCTTTAGACAATCACACTGAGGTTAGACTTGTTCAGTTACTCCCTTCCTCTACATGTTCCAGTGGCTTATGTTTGCTCAGTGCTACAATTTTTTGTTTCCAGAGATTCTTCTTCCTGTCTTGTTAATACCTCATAAAGCTACGATCTTTGATCTAATTAGACACTGGAGCTTTAGTTTTAGCTGTTTCTATGTTGATATATACTATAGGTTTCATATTCTGTATCTTTATTCAGATCTTTAAATGTACAACATTGAGAATTCATAATGCTACTTTTAGTTCAAATAAATTTGGATTGGTGCTACCAACGTTTCTTTTTAGAGAGGTAGAACTTTGATAACCTTTGAACCATTTCTTTGTTGGTCGTGATCAAGTCTTCATGGTAGTTTTATTTAGAGTCTTATATTATAAAGTTAAGTAACTGAGTTTTGTTATGTATAAACTATTCGTATTACACACCGAAGAGATACGAATAGAATCGTTAACTGCAAAACAGTTACACGTGTATGTATGTGTCTCCACAGTGGGTTGTCTTGTAGAGACGTGTCCCTTAGTCAAAGTGTGTCATGTAAACCTATAAATACAGTTTATATATCTAATAAAAGTGTGTGGTTTCCGTTTACAAGAATTGAGTAATACACAAAAGAGAATACGTTGAGTGTCGAATAAGAAACAGTGAGAGAGAGACAAAACAGAGTAAAATCTGTGTTGTCCGATCCTTAAACACTTTGAGAGTTCAAAGTCTTTCATTCTTCTGACTCTTTTTCGAATTTGATGCATGTTGGTTGATCTTGTCTTTCATTGTAATTTTTGGTGGTGTTCTGTTAATTTGCCTTCGTTGACATTCTAAGTTCATGGTGAATCATCTCTTATGATTTCTCAGGTTAAAGATTATGCCAAATATCGCATCTTTTTACGTGTTTCCTTCTGATAGGCCTTGTTTGTTAATGCAGGCTTGCTCAAACATGCTTTAATAAAAGTGTGGATAAAAGTTAAAACTTTTCTCTTTTTAATGTTCTCTATGATCTCATGGAACTTGCTGTTATTAAGACTTAACTGAGAGATGATTTGGGTTCTAGAAGAAATGACGGAAATGCTGACTTTCACTAGAATGCGTTTTTATTTGATCCAGTTAGTTACAAAAATGGAGGAGGAGTACTAGTAGTCAGGGAGATGATACAATGCGTAAGGACAAGGCTGAACATCAAGGTTAGGAACTGGTGTATGAAACAGAGAAAGTATTCATTGTCTAATCGTTGTGTACCTGACTCACCTGATTCTTATGAGTGTTTTCTGATCTCAAAATGTTACATTTGTTCAGAAATGTTTTCTTGAGGGGTGGATGTCTCTATGGCCAAAAGTATCAAGCGTCTCAAAGAATGTTGAGTAGATTGAACTTGTTGCTCCGGTGGCAACAACAGACCTATAGATGGTGGAGTTTGACACTTCTGATTTATATTTCCATATCCTCGGTTGCTGCCACCAACCTGCATACACATCTATGCCATCATCAAGGGAGGAGGTCATATTACCTTGCGTAGTAACAAATGGGTGAAAAGTTCTGAAGTAGTCGCCCTCTGCTGTAATGGTTTTAGTTTCAGTTTCTAAGTCACTAGGAGCAACCTTTCAGTAGCTTTAGTGTGTGAAAATGTTGTAGCAATCTCTAGTGTGGTTGTATAAAGAGTAGCCACTGTCGTGGCTGCAGTGTCGAAACCAGAGAATTCTCTGAAGTTGTAGTAGTTGACGTATAAGAAGGGTCAAAGTCAAGACTTGTCGCAGTTTCACTCACTAGCTTTGCTGTGTTTGTGACAGTTCCTGGAGCTGCGTTTTTGACCTAGTGTCATAGCTTGTAAACATTGTCTTCTAAATGGAATAACCTTTACTAAAGGAAAAACTTAAGCTTGATACACAATTTTAAGCTATCAACCTTTTTTCTCCTGTTGTTGGCATTGAAAAAATGTTTACCATTTAGCTAGTGGGTTTCAGATTGTCATCATGAATCTAAACTCTTGATTTCTACTAGTTTTTGCATGAGAAAAGGCAAGTTCACTGTTTTTACTCTCCTAATTAATATAATAACCAATACAATCCATGGACAAATTATTTATCTTTGTAAGTAAAGCATGGATTAAGCTCTAAAGCCACTGCTCTCCATCGATAAAGGAGATGTTGGTGAAAGGAGCCGCTTCCACATCGGTGAGTTGCTTCGCATAGGGAACCCGTTTAATGTGATTGGCTCCTGGTCCGTAGCACCGATGCTCTCCGTAATACACAGTCCTAAAAAATCAACTCAATTCAGTCCGTAATACACAATCCTACGAACCAATTCATTGTGATTTTTGTTGACTAACCTTTGTGCCTTGTGATCTCCCATGTCATTCCACCCATCAAGAGAAACAACTCTAGACATGTATGTCTTGGAGAAGACAACACTTGCATAAGGTCTCCATGCACGTCCGAGCCACACTTTCGCGCTTCCCGTAATCTTGCAATTCACGAAAACGAATCCCGCTCGCTCGTTTGGTAGTACCTTTCCATTTGCCGTAATACAACCAAGTGTATTTTCCTTTGCGACCGAATGGATTGTGCAATCCTACAAAAGAAAAATGGTTTCAAATTGTTAACTTACACGTAAAAGTCTATATGTGAAATATTATGACATTGTTGTATTTTTGTTTTACCTCGTAAAGGGATCTCCCGTTACCGAATATAAAGTCGATTGATCCTTCGATGAAACATTCTTTGAAAAAATGCCTTCCTTCTTGGTCCAAAAGTGTGTCTTGGTTCCCATAGAAGCCACATCCATAGAATGCGGCTTTGTCTCCGTAAACTCGTAAAGCTACCGCTTGTGCATCGATTGCTCCGGGGTTTGGTGCGGGAGCCGTATTCTTATACCAAACAAATTCATTAGAAACCACAAAAGAGAGTAAACAATATCTCAAACCTTTATCTAAGAGAAAAACTTTCATTAGAAACCATAAAAGAGACAAAACATTTCATTAGATACTTTATCAAATTTAAACTACCTAGAAAGGAAGAAAACATCTCATTATTAAAAACCATAAAACAATGAAAAAATACTTTCAAACTTTAGTAGTTTAGTTATCTTCCCATTATCTAAGTTCAAAGCAATAACATCTATTCTATATTATTAAGATGAGAAAACTAACTCGAAATTTCTCATGAAATTAGTAACTCAAAACTAAAAAATTAAATTACAAAAAAACAGAAAATTTTACCTTGAAGCTTATGTTGTATGCGGTGAATTTATCTCCAAAAACCGCAACCGAAAAACTTTCGGAAGTACCTTTGGAAGAAGATGCGGTATTGTTCCATTCTATGGATGTTCTTGTGTATCCCATTCCTTGCACCACAAGATTGATTTTGTTCTTTGGAAAGATAACTCTTTCCCTAACAAAAAAAGACACTCACATTACACATCAAACTATTAGAAGTAAAAAGAAGAAGATTAGGGTAAAGAATTTACCTATAGATGCCAAAGTCAATTAAGATTAGTGTCTTGCTTTGGCTTGATCCAATACTTGCATCAATAGCATCTTGGATTCTTTTAAACCTTCCACAACCACTGAGTGAAACCTTCAAAACCATGGTGAATCCCTTTGTTGGAAATCTTGAGAGGTGGTCACACTTTGAAGGATGATGGATCCTTTGATCCACCAATTGAACTGGAGAGATGATGGAGAGAAAGAGAATGAAGAATAGCATGGTTGAAATGGTTTAGGTTCAAGGAGATCAAAAAGAAAAGAAATTTTGTGAAATGTGAAGAAGATTGTAAGAGGCAAAGCTTCTTCACTTGGGGAAGATGATAACGTTGTGAAGAAATGGCAAAGGCTCTCGTATAGCTACTCTTACTCTCTCATTCTAAACTTAGTTATGCTATGATCACTACATTACAAACTATTATTTCTTTGACAAAGACACTATACCAAGTTCATTTGATATTTTTGACTCTCATCCCAATTAATGCTCTCTTAAGAAAACGATTTCTTTAATTTTAATTTTTCACTTTTTAACTTCATATGAAACCTTTCTATTTGAGTATTTTCAATAATAGATGGTTTTGTAGTTTAGGCATTTAAGAACTTTGACACTCTTAAACATCCTCATGAGTTGGTGTCTTACATAGCTTTTTGCACATGATAATTTTAACTCTACTCATCTTATTTTGGTATCTATTTCTATAATTATCTAAGAAACAAAAAAGCAGACATTTTGTTTTTACGTTGATGAGTAATTGGTTTCAAAAATTAAAAAACTTTCATAGCAAACCTAAATTATTAACACACAATACAAAAATAATATTTGTTTATGCAAGTTTTATAAATAGTTAAGGTTTCTTCACAATTTGAATTTTAATAGTCAATATACATGGTGACTTTAGTTGTAGAATTGTGTTTGGTTGATTCAGATTTAATTTAGAAATTTGATTGATATCATGTATACCAAAATGATCCTAGCTCCCATGAATAATAATGTATTTTTTTTTGTCAAGAATAATAATGTATTTTATAAGCTAGGGATCATTTTTTTTTAATAAATAAATATTGTGTATATAAAATGAGATTTTATGATCATGATCATCCAAAAAAGAATTGAAAGATGGCTAATTAAGAAATTGACGTAAGAGTGTAGAAAAATAAAAGATCAAGAGTTGGGGAAGTTGGAGTGTAATGTAGAGTTATAACCAAAATTGATCGTAACCAAATCAAAATGGTTTAATATAAAACCAAACCGAACTTTTTTCACTACAAGGCAGGAATACGCGGGACATTAAAGTCCGCTAACCGACTTTAACAAGAAATAACGCCACTGGTTTGAACCGTTACTAACAAGAAAAATAAAGGACGTTAATAAGCCTTTTTCTCTGTAGTTTTTTTTAATACATTTTAATCTCATATATAAAAAATAAATGTAATTATGTTAAAAATATAACATAATTGAATCATTATTTGGACTTTTGAGATCGACGGATACTGTCATGTGATCGATCGTCCCTTAAAAAAGAAAAAGATTCCCTGATACTATTGCCATTTTGGTAAAGTATCATTTAATAGCTGTGTCTAGGATAACCAAAGTATCAAAAAATTATTGACTTTTTCACCGGCACAAAAATAAAAGACAGTCAAGTACTACAGCGACACTCACGTTCAGTTATCGTTAATTAACGTATCGTTAAAAAAAAATGATTTATATGATCAATCATTAACCGTGGTTAACAATTTACAGTATCCCAAAAATTGAAATGAAAGTGGAAACTTGTCTAAAAGGATAGAAACATATGTTTGGCCAAAAACAAAGGAAATGTGTGTTGACAAAAAAAAACGAAAGGAAAATTATGAGAAATGCAGAAAAGATTACTAAAAAAAAAAGGAAAAAGTAACCAAATAAAGGATCCATAATATTAACATTCTTTTTGTAGATAAAATTAACAATTTTGTGATGGATTATCTGATTATTTCCTTTACAACTCTTAAACAAAATTTTGTTTTTTATTAGAGAATAAATAACATTATACTGGCATAAGACACATCTATGTTAGGAAACTAAATTAGGATTCGTATAATACATGAATTAATAGATACATGTTTTTAGAAAATTTAGTATTTTTGTAGTTTTATGAAAATAGTATATTGAATTACAGTTGAACCAACTCTGATTTTATTATATGTTTGGCTTTGAACCACAATTTTTTTTTTAAAGATTCATTTATAATAAGATTGTCTTGGTATAATGTGTAAAACTATATGGGTTGGTGTTAGAAGATTTCAAAATTAAAAAAAAAAAGCACACATTCTCTTTTTACGTTGATGAGTAATTGTTTTCAAAAAAAAAAAAAAAAAAACTGAACCTTTTTGAGAAACTTTGATAGCATAACTAAATTATTAACACACATACATAAAATATAAATGTAATCATGTTAAAAATATATAACATTAATTGAATCATTATTTGGACTTTTTGAGATCTCTGAAGATTCCCTGATTTTCCAATTTTGTTTTTCTTGAACTACTTATGAATATTGCCATTTTTGGTTAATTAGTAACAGAGACTAATAAATGGTTTTGTAGGTTGTGCAATTAAAAACTATTGGACTTTTACAGGTCTTTCTTATGAGAGTTGGTGTCTTGTACAGTAATCATGATGCTTTTAACACTCAACTTTTTTTTTTTTTTTTTGCCAACTTTTAACACTCAACTTATGTTTTTATTTTTCTTATAATCTAATAACATAATTAAATAAAAGCGCACATTTTGTTTTTAAGGATTTGCTTTTAAATAAACTTTGCCTGTGAAAACCTCATTAAAAACATACATTATTACCAAACTATACAAAACTAAAAATAAAAAATCACGAGAATTTCATAGATGTTTAAGAATAGTCCATACCTAGAGATTAGGAGATATCGTATTATATTAAAAGCAATGTATGTGTATTGGATAACCAAGTATCAAAATAATTGACTTTTTCACTAGCCCAAGAAAAGGAGAGAGTCAAAAACAGCGAAAGTTTCTCAGCCCAAGCGGTTAAAGTACAGTTAGATAGCAAGGGTCTGATGGGTTCGATTTCCTTCTTCACGTTACTAAAAAAGGCCATCTTCTTTTAGCAGCCCAAGCTGTTGTACTACAGTTTCCGTTGACCAAAACAATAAAAGGTCATACATCTCGAACGACGTCGTTTGATCGAGAACTTTTGGGTTCTTCTGTTTCGATTCTGCATAATTCAAATAGTCATAAACTATTAAGTTAATATAGATGGTGAATATAAACTTGAGAAAATCTAAAAAATGTAATAAAAAAAGGCCTAAAACATCCTATATATTGGGAGGAGTAGAAGAAAGTGACCAAACAAAGTAAAATGTATAATACCAAATAATTACATAAGATTTTTGTCCTAAAATAAACCATTTTTTCTTTGGAAAAATAAAATTAACATGTTTGTGATAGATTCTCTCTCCTCTATAATATAACTCTCAATGGCTTCGCACATAATTCTTTTTTTTTGAAGAAACAGAAAGGGACACGCTTGTTAAAGCCTTGGGGGTCACAGAATGTTGGGTCAACCTTCAAGACATACAAGGAAACCGGATGCATAAAAGTAAGACTCTTTATCATCAGTGTTGGTTTGGCTAACATCATCATGAAGTAAAGATACCACCATCTTCTTAAGTTTAGGTCAGCACTTTACACTTATAATGTGAAGATATATAGTAGATAAGCCTTCCCAACCAAAGCTTGACGTACTGCCCTGAGACGCAAGGTGATAATTCAAGATTTGATAACAAAAGATCTAAAAGCAAGGACATGCACTAAATATAACACACCAAAGCGACAACAAACATTGTAAATCAAGTGTAGTTTCTGATGCAATGATTGATGAAGCAACAAAAAGGTACCAACTTTCTAGTTGAGTGGTGACAGAAATACTGGAGAGTTTGACGTGGATTCTGGTGGCCTGAAAAGGCAAAACAAGAGGGCACAGAGTTCAATATTTATATTCATGCACAGAGAAATTTAGAGACAAAGAAGATGATTCACCGGAACAGCAGAGAAGACAAAATGGATCGTCGGAGGATAATCGAAAATTTCAGAATTTTTGTGAATGTATAATCTCAGAAAGGAACATTCTCATTTCGTCAAAGTAAAGGATGAAACAAGAGTCTGAGGATACCAGAGAGAAGTTCACGGCGTCGGATAATGTCGCAGGAAGATGCAAAGATTCTCGTCGGAGAACTGAATCTGAAATCACTATCAATGGCATTTGGGTTTCGGCGAAAAATATCGTTGGAGGATGCGGTCGGATTCGCCAGAGTGTGCGGAGGTTGCTATCATAAAATGGAGCTTCGAGAAAGAGGCAACGGCGGTTCGTCGTTTAACGGAGGCCGGAGGGTTCGTCTGTCGCCGTCGACTAAAGATTGTCAATATATGGGCCTCGATCACATCCTCTAGGCCCAATATGAAAGTCTTCATCAATAGTTATGGCAGATGGGCCTAGATGAATCTCCATCTCTAACTAAAATGAGATCATAGAAAATCAATGATATAAACGATAAATTCTTTTTCTTTTTAACTCAATGGCTTTGCAAGCATTGAAAATTTGAAATTATAGGAAAAAGTTATGATTGTGTTGAATCTTGAATGGATGGTATACATAATAATATGATATATATAAGAGACAGATTGTATAAATTTTAGGCTATATAGTATAATTTTTTTTTTTTAACTTCGATTTCTTTTATAAATTTGGGAAACAGGAAATTTTGATTTGAAAAATTTAATGTATTTGATATATAAGGAATCTTTCTATATAAGTAGGAGATTCATCTTGGCCCATCATTTTATGAAAAATTAGGAAACAAGAAATTTTGATTTGAAAATTTTTAACGTATTTGAAATATAAGGAATCTTTCTATAAGTTAAAATTTTAGAAAATCGGAAATAATATTTTTGGCAAGTTTATTTAATATTAAAATATGTTTGGTTTTGAGTTTTTTAAAAATAAGTAAAAAGATAGTAGAATTAAAAGTGTTTAGTAATGAATAAGTATAGTAGAATTAAATAAAAAAATAAAAATAATGAGAATAATTATGGACATACCACATCATCATAAAAAATTCTTCTTTTAATATATAGAGGATATATGTTGACCAGAAAAAAATAAAAAAATAAAGGAAAGCAGTGAGAAATGTAGACACGATTGCCAAGAAAAGGAAAATAGAAAATAAAAGTAAACAAAAAGGAAATATATCTATGAAATTAACATTTAAAAGTTATAGTCTTTTGGAAAATAAAATTAACATTTGTGTGATGGATTCTCTCCTATATAACTCTCAATGGCTATGCGAAATGGAAACGCAGAAAAGTCATAAGAAAATTGAAAGAGTTGGGAAGAGCGAAGGATGATGGTTTGCAAGAGTTTGGTCATGGTTCTCATATTTGTCTCTCTCCTTGGTCTTCACCAATGTAAGGAATTTTAATTCAAGCTTTGTCAATTTGTCATGATTCAATGCATATTTACATTTGTCAGCGAATGATGGAATCTAAGTGCATACGTAACCAACTTTTTTTTTTTTTTTTTTTTGAGCAAAGTGCATACGTAACCAACTAAATCCAATAAGATTTGTGTCTCTCCCTAGAAGAATGAAATCATAGATCAATGATAATTGATGATGGATTCTCTCCTTTAATTTAATTTATAGTAATTCTCAATATATGTATTTGCAAGCGCCAATAGTCAGCACACATTTGTTTTTACGCATACTTGATTGGAGGATAGAGAATCAAAGATGGGTTGTAAAAGTTTGGTAATTATTTTTATGATCGTCTCTCTCTTTGGTCTCTACCAATGTAAGAAGTGAATCGAGATATCTTCTTTTTTGAAAAAACCCAAAATTGTTAAGGAGGTGTAGGCGTTAAGGACGTCGTAGCATTACACTTATATTTCATTACTCTTTATGAATTCAATTGACTTTTGGGATAATGATTTATGTAGGTCAAGATTACGATCCCGATCATCCGAAAGGAGTAGAAAGATGTTTCCATAAATTTATGGGAAAGCCATGGACACTCGAGTATTTGTGTTGCGTCGAAGATCCTTCCACTTGCTTCCCTGAATATGATAAAAAAAGTTGTCTCAAACACTGTCCGCCGCTACGAAAAGGCCATAAAGCACCGCCTCCTTCACCTGGTGCAATTGCCTCCTCTATGAATGCTCATTGAAATGATTAATGATTTAGCTCTTCGTATTATGTTCTCTCTGATCAACATACAATGTCTTCAATAAGTCAATAACAATTGTTCAATGCTCTAGACTCTTGTCTCGATCTCCCAATATTATCTAATATCTTGTTCAATATATATATATTTTTTTTTTGGTAAGGTCTAGTTAAATGTATATTCTTCTTCCCTCATGTGTTTATTTTTTTTTCATAAATCAATCTCATCTCTCTTGCCTGTCTAGCTCATAAATCTCCATCAATCCAACCCTATATAGATCAATAAACGAACTTTATATATACATCAATAGTGTATTTCTTAGTTTACTGATCATTAGATGATATATATATCTCAAAATAAAGAGAACAAATTTAAATTTTAAATTAGGAATTGTTCAATAACAGAATAATTTCCCTACTACAAATTACAAGGGAAAATAAAAAACGAGATTGTTTCTCTCTTTTCTTCACCAATGTAAGAATTTATTCAAGCTTCTTATTTTATTTTATTTTTTCCTACAAACCAAAATTTAATAGTAGATCAGTACGTAGATGCAAAGGTTTTGCATGTTGTGTTCCTTATCAACCAAACCAAAATCTTACACACCTTATAAGTTATAATTAGTCCAAACGAATTCAGTCTGTTGCTAAGACATGGTTACTCTTCCATAGTTTGTTTAATAATTACTACATGTGTTAATGTTGTCTTATGAGCTAATAATGAAAATATAGTTTGATGCATGGTCAAGATCCTTTCCACCACTGCAAAAGCGCCGTCTCCATCACCGTTTCCATCACCCATGTAATCTTGTTTATAATTTAGGGTTATTTTTGGTTGAAAGTATGCATGTTTCTTCGAATATTTGGTTTTAATATTAGAGTCAAAAAGTAATTTTATATTTAATTATTTATTTTGTTTGTGAAAAAGTGTGATGAAATCACGAATACCTTAGAAACTTTATTCAGAAATGTGGGCTAATTATGCGTTTCGTTTGATAGATTTGTTGGAAGATGTTTTTATTGAATGAGAGCTAATTAAACATATCAAAATCAGATTAATTAGATATATCATCTACAGTATGTATGTATCTACATCAGAATGTTTTTTTTTATTCATGTGTATCCTTATATACGTTAGTAAAATCCGATAAGATCGTCTCTAATGTCTTTAGATGTAAGCTCGGAGACTATGTTAGTGTGACGGAGCCATTCATCACCATCTATAAAAGAAATATCTATGAAAGAAGATGCTTCTGAATCCGTGAGTTGTTTCCCAAACACAACTCTCTCTTTGTAATCTGCTCCCGGTCCATAGCATTTATGCTCTCCAAAAGTCACCGTCCTAAAAAATAAAACCCATACAAGACACAAATAAGATCTTTTATGTATGTTCTGAGATGTGTATGTAGTCTCTTACTTTTCTTTGGCCGGGTCTCCCCAGTTATTCCATCCTTCTGGAGTGATGATTCCAGACATGTAAGTGTTTGAGAACACGACAGTAGCATAGGCTCCCCAAGCTCTTCCAAGCAATATTTCCCCGCTGCCATTGATCTTACAATTCACAAAAGAGAATCCTGTCTGTTCATCTTCTGATTGTCTTCCTTGAGCTGTGATAGATCCGGTAACTCCGGATGTATTCCCCTTTGCTATTGAATTAATTGTACAATCCTGTCATGCGAGTTTAGAGTATTATGGTCATGTTTTGAAAAGGTCATGAATGTGTTTTGTTTTTAACCTTGTAGAGTGATCTTCCATTGCCAAATATAAAATCTATGGACCCTTGAATGAAGCAATCTTTGAAAAAATGTCTTCCTTTATCATCTAGAAGCGTGTCTTGAGCCCCGTAGAATCCACAACCATAAAAGGCAGCTTGGTCTCCTTCAATCCTTAGAGCTACTGCTTGTGCATCAGCTTCACCAGGATCTGGTTCTGGCGCATTATTCTTCCTCCATTCAAAACATATACACAAATGAGAACTCATATCATTATATGCGTTAGCTAATTAGATTTGTAACATGTTGTGATCTCGATATCCTTACCTTGAAACTGATGTTGTAAGCTGTGAAGTTAGATGCAAACACTACAAAGGAGAAGCTATCAGCAGTGTTTCCTGCGGATTTCGCTGTGTCGTTCCATTCGATGGAAGTGTTTTGATATCCTCTTCCTTGAATAACAAGGTTCGTCTTGTTTTCATTAACCGTAACTTTTTCCCTGCTTGCTTACATTGAACTCAAACATTACTAAATATATATATCTCATATTACACAAAAAAAATAAAAATATTATCAAGCAAATATTGGAGAGAGGGTAAAAAGAATAAGAGCTTGGAGTTGAAGATAGGACCTATAAGAACCCGAATTAACGATGATGAGAGTCTTGGAAGGGCTTAAATCAGGGACAGCATCAATGGCGCTTTGAACATTGGTGAAGTTACCACAACCATGCAAATCAACAGTCAACACAAGAGAAGTCTTGTATTGGTGTGTAAGCCTTGACGTCCATTTCTCACAACATTTTATTGGTTCATAGTGGTGATGATGATGATGGTGATGGTGATGATGGTGGTGTTGGTGTCCAAAGAATGTTGAATGTATTACTAATGCTCCGGGTTGGGAATTGTTTATGATATTTGTAGCTATAGAAGAGAGAGATCTAGAGGATGGCAATTGGATCGTGTAGAGAGCAAGAATAATGGATAAAAGAGCTATAAGGGTGGTTAAAACCGGTTTGATGGGCATGGTTACGAGAACCGGGGACTGGGTTTAGTGTGTCTCAACTAATTAAAAGTACAAAGGGGGCAAATCTTGTTTGGTATTTATACATGTGTGAGGAAGAGTGGCGTGAGAGTAAAGTGAAGGATATGGGCTTCGAAGACATTGTTGTGGTACTTTTTTCTTCGTAAATCAGATACGTTTGGTGATTAAACATTATTATTTTTAGTTATATCAAATATCTAAAGACATTTCTGAACTACAATTTCGTGATAAAACAAAAATAAGTATATATGTCGCTCTAGAAACTTAGAAAACAGTGAAATAAGTTTTGTCATAGGCATCTTCAATCATTTACGTTAGAGACTCAATATTGGAATAAGATGATCAAGTATTTTACAAATATCAGACGAAAATTATGAATATCTTCGACTTTTTGAACTTTTAAGTATTGGTTTTCTTTTTGGTTTCATGGGTTACAAAAATCGAAATCTGGTTTTTTTTTTCTAGAATATAACGCCTGTTTTTTGCAAGACTTTTTAAAGCTGAAAGTGTAGAAATTTTTTCTTAAGACGTTTTTACATAAATGAAATATTTTACTTTTTGCTTAATAGATCATTCCTTGTAGTTGTTGTTAAGAACCATCTTCAAAAAGAAGTACCACGGCTATCATAACAAAAAGGATAAAACAAAAACTTATAATGAAATCTAGCCAAAGCATATTAAAATTTTGTGTAACAATCTATATATTATATAAGAGTTTAATTTAGAAATGGGTGACATATGATCTTGGAAAAAATAGTTGTTGAGATTATAAGAAAGAATTTTCAAATCAACCGACAGGCGGGCGAGTTGGGGGTACACGCCAAGATGGCTAATGATGCTTAGTAAACCCATTTCGAAAGCAACTTTTACTATATTTTAATTTTGCGTTGATTAATAAAATTGTCAGTGTTTTATCTGTTTTGGTTTAAAACACTGACTCATTTACATAAAACACTGGCAGTTTGACTCGTCGAGAGAAAATCATATTTCTCATTTACATAAACAACGCACTTCTCCATAAACTTCCTAACTCCAAATTTGCTATCGGTATGGTTTTATGATAATTACATAGTTTACATTTTAAATATAGTTTGAATTACTTTGAAAAAGCTTGAACAATAATTAACATCCTTATGTATCAGTAGACTGTATATTTAATTCAAACAATGATGGATCCAAAAACTATTTTGACTCGAGGCAAAAGTAACTAAATTAATAATATTTAACAATAAATTAAATATTAATTATAGTATTATTAAAATGACAAGAATTGAACCGTATAAATTTGGGATTTTTTTTTTAAACATAATCATTTATCTATGTAGTTTGTCAACATTGATCTATTTTTAAAATTTAAGAGTCTTGCAAAACAAATTGGATTTCACCACTTTCTTTTAATATATATCTTCTTCATTTGAATCAAGTCTCTTGCACTTAATCTAGACATCCAAACCATATCGAACTGAAATGTGTTTGAAAGAAGATACAAGAGATCTAACTCCTTTCATCTAGATTTTGATCTCACAATACGGTAATTAGAATAGGATTATGATCTATAACTAGAGATGAGTTTTGAAAGTAGGTTTGATCATCAAAACTCATTAAAAAGCAAATAAATATGATTTGAAAGGAATATGAAAGTTGTTTCTCTTTTTTTTTTTCTTCTTACCAATTTCTTACATAATCACAAAAGTAATTAAATCTCTTATATATGTATTAAAAAAAAGTTTGTAACAAGATAAAAAAAGCTCCTAACAAGAGATCAAGAAAAATTATCAAAGTGGAAAGAAAAGGAGCTGGTCGTAATTGGAAGAGAAGGTTTAGATTACATGCATAGGGAAATCTATCACACACGTGCAACCAAACACATGGCAGCCATTGTCTTGGCAGGGGTCAATTTTAATTCTAAAACTAAAAATCTGTTTTGAACAATATTTTATGGGGGTCAATAAGCATATTTTAAACCATTTTTCTGAATTTTGTTTACAAAATTACAAGTAAATTAAAAATTTGTACAAATCCATAGGGGTCAATTGACCCCCATAAACACCATATACCTTCGCCCCTATTAATTCCTAGCCATTAAATTGGTATAAAAACGATTAGTAAAAAGAAATCTAGACTGGATTTATTAATTCTATTCATAAGAACTTAAACAAAGATTAAATTTTCAACTTATAATTCCTAACAATTTATAAAATTATCGTTTTTTCGAAAAAAAAACAAACGCAAAACATAAACGTTATTATTGTAGAAAAAAAAAAACAGATTAGTAAGCGCAAATTTTCGCGATACAAATATGGGCCTTGGGGCCCTATTTTATCTTAAAGAAATACCCATTAAAAAGGTTAATATTTACGAAAATTGCCACTGCTCTGAAGACTGTAATTTACTGTAATTTACTGCAGTTTTTCTCTATCTTCCTTCCTCCTCCCAGTGGCTGCAAAATCCTAAATCCCAACCCCAAAGGATTTTGTTTCTTCTTCTTCTTCCTCCAGATCCATGTATGAAACTTTCCATAAACCCTAAATTTAGCTATCGAATTTGAGATTCGATCCGATGTTCACTTCTAAATCCTCGATTCGTCGTCTCTGATAATAACTCCCATCGTAATCGAACTGGTTTCAAGACTCTTCAATGTTCGTTTCGTTTTTCTCTATGCCAGATTCGAAAAGCTATCCTTTTTTCGAATTCCATAGTGATCCGAATCTATTCTTCACTAGTTAATATCAGTTTGTTTCTCCTTTTCACTCTGTTCTGTGTAGATTTCCTTGTTGTTGAGCAGATTCGTTGCAATGAAGGAAGAGTTTGTGCCTGAGTCGATAGGCGGTGGTATCAGTTCGGTTTGGCAATCTCCGGTTAAGCGGTTGGCCTTAGACGGTGAGTGTGGTGAGGCTGGTGATAGGAGTAGAACTAGCTGTAAGAGAATTAAAACGACTCAGGTCAATGGTTTTATTGTTTACACTAGAACTAGGAAGACTAAATTCACCAAGCTTCATGAACAAGGAGATGGAAATGCTGGATTGTTGGAAAATGGAATGTCAAATCATCTCGAGGAGTCGAAACCAACAAGTGTTGTTACAAATGGCTCGGGTGATATGTGTCGCAACAGCTCGGTTGGTGAAACTAACGTTAGTGGGAGCTCTTGTATTAAGAATACACTTGTTGAGAGCTCTGTCGGGAAAATTGCTGTGGAAGAGCGGTTAATGACTGGCAGCTTAGCTGAAAGTCCGGCAGTTGAGACTGACAGTAGTTCATTAGTCGACGTTGTAATTGACGATATCAATTTTGTAGAAATGTTACATGAAGAGATTCCTGTTGAAATTCTGTCTGAAGGAAGCCTGGATTTTGAGGTAAAGAGACTAGGAACTAAAGTTAGAACCATGGGGAAATCCTATAGCGTATCAGAGAAGAAAAGGCATGGAGCTTTTAAGCGTACAGCACAGATCTATAAATCTATTGTGAGAATGAAGAAGGTAAACAATTTGGTGCCTGAGAATGTAGATGTTCTTGCGGAACCAGACTTTGCTCGTGAGGGATTAGATGAACAGAGTCTGGCGGACAGGTCCATTTTAATCCGCAGGAGGCCAGAAACAGTGAGGGAACTTTTTGAGACCGGTATACTCGATGGTTTGTCTGTGGTTTACACGGGTACTGTTAAGGTTGGGCTATTCAGTTTTGTTTTGTATGCTTTTGTGACCATTTCATTCTGGCTTAATCTAAAAAGTGATTTGTTTATGTGCCAGTCTCAAGCCTTTGGTCTCCGTGGCATCATTAAAGATGGTGGAATTTTGTGCTCATGTTCCTCATGTGATTGGGCTCATGTAAGAATTTGTTTCCACCTCTGCAACTTAGAATGTAGGTTGAATTTGATGATCTCTTGTGATTCTATAAGACGTACTCTCGTTTATAAATAATTTCTTTTTTGTAGGTTATTTCAACTTCCAAATTTGAGATTCATGCTTGTAAACAATACAGACGAGCATCACAATACATTTGCTTTGAGAATGGTAAGAGCCTGCTAGATGTTCTAAATATAAGTAGGAACACTCCTCTACATGCTCTCGAAGCAACAATTCTGGCTGCTGTTGATTATGCGTCTAAAGAAAAATGTTTTACCTGTAAAAGATGCAAAGGTGGGTCTGTTATCTTGTTTCTCCCTAGCTTGTTCTAATATTTATCGATTTCATAGATTTTTGGTTAAAATTGAACTTTATTACCTGGGCTTTCTAGGTGCCTTCCCTTTCTCCTCTCTTGGCCATAGAGGGTTTCTGTGTATGTCATGCTCGGAGGTAGAAACTTCTCAGGCCAGCCCTGCTACTACGAGGACCTCAACGAGTGCTCCTGCATGCATAACATCTCCGGTTAAGAGTAGATTGAAGATAACAAGAAAGTTGGTAACCTTTATTCTTTGTACTCGTTGTCATAAGGTGTCTCTTCTCCTGTTTAGGTTTACATCTTATGTGCAGCGAAAAATGATTTTCTTTGGGCATCATGCATGATTATAAATATTCAATTATGTGCTGTCTTGTTTTGCCTTTTCAGGCCATCAGAATCCACGTCAATATCGCCAGTATTTATGTCACCACTTGGAAATAGCACTCGAAATATAACAAGAAAGTTGGTACCATTTTGTTGCTTTTTGTTTTGTTGTGTATCTTGCATCTTCATCAATCATTGCATGAGAAACTACGCTTTTCTAAACCATAAGACAGTCTTGATGTACAATTTTTGTGGTCACTTTGGCATGTTACATTTAATGCATGTCTTTGCTTTCTTGAATTTGGTTAGCAAATCTTATATTATCACCATGCGTCTCAGGGCATTACGTCAAGCTTTGGTTGGGAAGGCTTATCTCAGTGCTTCTACAAATATATCTTCACAGAATAAGTGCAGATCTAAATTTAAGAAGATGTTGGTATCTTTACTTCATAATGATGTACTGATGTTAGCCGAACTGACACTGATGGTAAAGAGTCTTATTTTGATGCATCTGGTTTCCTTGTTTGTCTTGAAGGTTGACCCAACAT